TATTATTATTATTATTATTATTATTATTATTATTATTATTATTATTATTACCTTTAAAAACACATTGAAATACAGGGGAGAGTTGGAAGGGAGAGGCCCGCAGGCTGGAAAAAAATATATAAAATGAGACAAGTTGGCAGCAGTGATGGAGGAAAGGGGGATGAGAGATGGAGTTTGGGTGCAGGAATTAAAAAAAAAATAGGGTGAAGATGACCGAAGAGATTAAGATAAAAGTGTTGTGAGAAGGACCTCTGGATCATAACAGAATAACAGAGTTGGAAGGAGGACCTTGGAGGTCTTCTAGTCCAGCTCTTTGTTCAAGCAAAAAAAAAAAACCCTAGAACATTTCAAACAAATGGCTGTCCAATGTCTTCTTAGAAACTTCCAGGGATGGATAACCCAGAACCTCTGAAGGCAAGTCATCCCACGGGTTAATTGTTCTCACTGTTGGGAAATTTGGACCTCTCCTGGATTAGTTTCTATCTGCTTTGGAGAATAAGTTGACCCTTCTTCTCTGTGGTAACCCCTTAAATATTGGAAGACGGCTATAGCCCTTCTCTTCCTTAGACTAGACGTACCAAATTCCTGCCACTATTCGTCCTTCGTTCTAGGTTGCTTCTCTCCTTGATCATTTCGGCCATCGCTTCTTGTCTGGCCTTCAGGTGCTTTGGATAACAGGTCGACCTCTTCTTTATAAACCTCCACAAGGGAGTTGGTTATGGGGCGGGAAAGAAGGAAGGCCAGCTCATATGAGACCCAGGGCCTTCTCTCCAAATCATTGTTCGTTTGCAAAGGAGTAGAATCCAGCTGATAACCAGACACGGGGCTTTTCCGGCTTCTTAAAAATCATGGTTGGGGAAAAAATAATAATAATAGAGTGTCAGGCCTGGAGAACAGGGTGTGTGTATGTGTGTAAGTGTGCGTGTAGGTGTGTGTGTGTGTGTGTAGGTGTGAGTGGGCTTGGACTCTGACCATGTCAGGCCGCACCCCAAGAGCTGACCACGGGGGTGGGGGGGAGATGGAATTTAAATCGGAAATAAAATGGCTGGAAAGAAAAAGTGGCCGTTGTTTGGTTGCAGGGAAAGCGGATGGGACATCTTCGGATAACAGTTGGACAGAGGGCAAAAAAAAAAAAAAAATGGGAAGGAGGGAAGATGTGTGTTTGTGTGCGAGTGTGTGTGTGTGTGTGAGAGAGAGAGATAATGCATGTGTGTGTGTATGTACAGATGTGTGCTGAGCGCAAGCCGGGTGGCCAGAATGAAAGGAAGGAAAGATCGGGAGGAGGAATCCAGAGGAGATGAGAACTGAGAAAGGGAGGAGGACCAAAAAAAGATTTTTTTTAAAAAAAGATGGAGAAACACCCGGGGAGATGCTAAAAAAAGGAATGCAGGAAACCCAACTGAAAAGGGGGATGAGATTGGTGGGGAGAGGGAGCAGAGAGCACCGGGAGGCGGAGAATGCCTGCTCTCCAACCTCCTCCTCCTCCTCCTCCTCCCCCCTCAATTGTCTCCCATCCTGATTATGGGACTTGTAGTCCATCCCGTTTCAATGGGACAGAGGCCCGGTGGAAAGGCAGGGAATGCAGGCGGAAGAGGAGGAGGAGGAGGAGGAGGAGAGGGGCGGCCTGGGAAGGAGGGGAGGATGAAAGAGGTGGAGGGGGGGTGGGGGAGGGAGGGAGGGCCGCCGTCGCCCTACCTTTGTGCATGCCAGTGTAGCGGTCCTTGAGCACGGTGAGCTCGTAGATCTGGCCGAACTGCTCGAAGAGGGGCTTGAGGTCCCTCTCCTCCAGGTTGCGGGGGATCTGGCCCACGAACAGCTTGATGGCATCCAGATCCTTCATGCCCTCCGGGTCGGCGGCGCCGCTGCTGCTCATGGGGGAGGCGCGGGGCGGCTGCTGCTGGGGCTGCGCCTGCCGCCTGGGCTCGCTGGCCGGCAGTCTGGCCATGCCCCGGGTCCCCACGCGGCCGGGCGGGCGGGCGCCCCACGGGAGGAGGAGGAGGAAGAGGAGGAGGAGGAGGATGCGGGCGGCGCGGAGTCGGGAGCTGCGGGCGGCGACCAGAGATGCAGCGGGAGGCGAAGTGGCGCTCGCAGCATCAGGACCACAAAAGGCGGACCGCTCCGCAGCGACGCCGCCTGGACGGACGCGGAACTGCAAAGCGCCGCCGCGCGAGAAATGGGAAGAGGGTGAGGGGAGGGGGGCGGAGGGGGGGGGAGAAGAGAAAAGAGGGCACCGGGAGAGGGGGAGGGGGAGGGGGGGGCTTCCCCGGGGCCGCGGGAAAAGCAGCCGCTCCCGCCACGTCCCCACGACCGGCCGGGGCTTGGCTCGGGGGTTGCGGAGGCTCTTGAGAGGCCGGCGGATGGGGGGGTGGGTGGGGGGTGAGGGGTGGGAGGGAGAGACAGCTGCTCCCGTGGATCGGCAGCGACTGAAAGATAAAACACAGAGGGGGGGCACCTTTGGGGGCGACTCCAAACACTTCCGGGTAGTAAAATGAGAGAGAGAGAGAGAGAGAGAGAGA